GGCTACAACGGCAACGATGAGAAGTAAATTATAACGAGAATGAAGTGCGTAGGAGTAAAATGTAAAAAAACAATCAGAGAACAACATTTTAACAAAGACAGTGACATAGGTGTTTTGGAAAACGAGCAGAGAGAATGACTAGCTGGTTCTGTATTACTCAGTGGTAAATTGATGCATGGCAAGCTATATGTTGTCAATTCCCTTTGGGAGCGAGTGAACAGTACAGAGCTACAATTAGATTACCACCGGAGAGAATGGTGTAGTGATGAGTTCAGGGATTTAGTGAACAGTACAGAGCTACAATTAGATTAGCACCGGAGAGAATGGTGTAGTGATGAGTTCAGGGATTTAGTGAGCAGTACAGAGCTACAATTAGATTAGCACCGGAGAGAATGGTGCAGTGATGTGTTCAGGGATTTAGCCGACATTCCACACTCAGAGGAAAAGCAAGACGGTCATACACTGAGACTGCTACTGGTATTATCGAAGATAGAACACTTCGCTGGCTGCTGAAGATAAGTATAGACCACATATGGAAACGAAACGAGTGCTGTGATGTCGGTTCTTGCAACTCAGTTCAACTCAACCCAAAGACAAAATTACAATAGTAGTAATACAAACTGATGGCAGCATAACGATGAAAGGCTGAAGCATTTAAAGAATCGCATTGTACCAGAGCGTTTGTCCAAAATTAACCAGCGGAATTCGCTTGATTGGCAAGATGGAAACAGATGGTCAAAAAAAGATACCTTAGTAAGTTCACTGAGTGAAAAGTAAGGTATGTACAAGTTTTCTGTCTTAACCAGACCGTCACCATATTTGTCCGTCGTCTGTGTTGTGTTTCGCTCACACTGACCAGCAACTAAATCCTTCGCCACGCCGCAGTGTGGCCACGTTTATATTAGGGTTTCCCAAGCACTTCAAAGATTTGTGAACGGTGGTCCCCGAAAGTGGTCACAATTTCTTGTTTGTTTATACCTGCTTCATGGTCGCGGACAATCACAGCTTTGACAACAAACTGGTCGCAGAACTTAGATTTGGCTCGGCGCATGTATACGCTCATCGATTTGTTTATTTCTAGTGGGAGGCCGGCTGGAAATCCAAGCAGTATTTAAACCCCTTGAACATCTCCATTGCGACCGGTCCAACAGTCAGCTCACTCGCTTGGTGTCTTCTACGATAGTCTTCGGGTCAATGGAACTGATCTGAAGAATTTTCGGGACGCGTCACGAGTTTTCTGCACTGTCCGACTATCTTTTTGAGTGTTAATTCGCTAGGCGGTTAAATCATCCAAGTATCATTTTTGATCTGTACCTTCACATTTTCTTCTATAACTAAGGACGAACATCCAAAGGTGAAACAAAGAGGATAATTGAAGCCTTTAGGTAGACTCCTGGAAAGCACACAGAAAAAAAGGGTGAGTAATTTATGTATGTCTTTTGGTGGTAGTTATGTTTTCCTAATATCATAAATGGACATCATTACTTGTGTTATGTAATTCTTTTTCTTCTTTGAATTAGTATTTGGAGAAACTAACTGCTGAAGTATGGACGGTAGGAAGCGATATTAGTATAAGTAACTAAAAAAAAGGTAGAGAACCATTAGCACATACTCTCTGTGGGAGTTAACTTATTAGTGTCGTCCCCTTGTGGGATGCAATTTTTAGTTATTTTGAAGCCCCACCCTGGCTTTTCCGGGGGCCCTGAATATAGCCGGGCCTGAAATATGGCCTAACGGCTGACCGGTGTTTACGGGACCTCTTCACGGGTGATCCTCATCTGCATGGCACTTTGTGTCACCGGGTGTTTATCGCTTGTGTGATGTCCTGGTGTCGGCTCTGTGGCTAAGTCGATGCGAACGCTTCGTAATGCCGGGGTGCCGGGTTCGATCCCAGCTGCTGGGCCATGCGCCTTGCGTGGGTTTCGACAGTGGTATCAGGGGGACGACCGTCCAGGGAGCAATGGCAAACTACTGGACGTAAATTTGCCTAGAGAAACCACACAACAGCCAGGGGCTGCTGGGGCTAGTTCTGCAACGTCCTGTAAAGGATACGCAACTAACCTTAGATGTCCTGGTGAGGTACAATTTACCTACCAACCTACCTTCCTACATACGTATGTGATGTGGTACAGAACCTATATTTTATATACCAATCGGTGTGTGTTGTGGTACAAGACCTATATTTTATAGACCAGTCGGCACTCGATAAGTGATTTGGCGCAAGACTTATATTTTATAGACCTGACATTTTTGCCCCTGTAAAGTTTGTCAGTGAGTAATTTTTTTTTTTACTGTGGCTGAAATGATCGAAGGTAATCGTCTTTTTTTTTTACTACCAGTCTCTTCATAGGCGCTGTCAATGTTTTTAAATATAATCTATGAGACGTGCACATAACAAACATATCAATTAAAAGGAGAATGACCAAACGCAAAGATGAATCAGCATTACAAGTCTGTGGTTAAGCACTAGCAAGGAAATAAAAAGTTAAAATGTTAAGAGCATGCATCTTCCCTGTTGCAACATACGGATGTGAGTCGTGGACTATCTCCCTTCCCTGTTGCAACATACGGATGTGAGTCGTGGACTATCTCCCATCTTCCCTGTTGCAACATATCTATGTGAGTCGTTGACTATCTCCCATCTTCCCTGTTGCAACATATCTATGTGAGTCGTGGACTATCTCCCATCTTCCCTGTAGCAACATATCTATGTGAGTCGTGGACTATCTCCCATCTTCCCTGTAGCAACATATCTATATGAGTCGTGGACTATCTCCCATCTTCCCTGTAGCAACATATGGATGTGAGTCGTGGACTATTTCCTAGTCCTTAGGAAAGACAATAGCGGTTTTTAAGCTGACATATAGAAAGGTTCTCAGAATATCTTGGACAAAGAAGAGAAGCAATACTGACATTTTAAAAGATTTGAACATCAAGGAAGATTGGCTAATAAACAGCATCTTGTCTTGGAAGCTGTAATATTTTGGTCGTATGAAGCGCCATGCTGGACTGGGAAAAATAATAGCAGAAGGCATGGTACAAGGCAGAAGGGGCAGGGGAAGACCAACACGAAGATGGGCACGGATATAAGTGACTCCTTGAACATGAGAGTGCACGAGGCGGAAGAGCTGGCAAAAGACCGATTCTCTTTCAAATAACAATCGGTGTTCGTGTCCATTTAACGGACGTCCGTCTAGCTTTGTTCCCCCAACCATTTATGTAGCAATGGCAAACTACTGAGCCTAAAACTGCCTAATAAAATCACAAACATCTAAACAATGCTTGAGTTGGTTCTACAACGTCCTGTAAAAGATAGGCCACTAACACCTAGCAGAAAATGGCGTAGTAGCTAGACGCTGGCCTGTCTCTCCTCACAGGGCTTGGGTTCCAGTCTGCATCCCGTGGGATTTTTTCTTCAAAATTTACCATGACTCTCAATTCGAAATATGAATACATATATAAATTATATCAGAGCCAATATGCAATTTATAATTGAAAGAAAATACTCAGAAATCCAACTCCCTGCCCCTTTTGTTTCAGACTGATTTTCAACAAGGGGCTTGGCTCGACCGAATAAAAAATGTCCTGACGGAAAGAGGGGTGTCATGATCAAAGTGCCCAAAGCTCCCCCCCCCCCCATCCCCCCCCCCCCCGTTCAGGAGCCCCAATCCTTATAACATATCCAGTTTATAATTTTTATTGCTAAGCATGTTTGTTTTCAGCTTTTTCTCATGTTAGTTTCTTCAAACGAAACGTTTCATTTTATTCGTACTTATTTTGTTCATCACTTTCACTAGTAATATGTTTCGCTTACACATTTTTTCATCATAATTATCATCATCATCATCATTATCCCGTAACACTAGGTGTCGTTGGGTCACCAGTTTCTGTTGACTGATCAGCTTTCTCCACTTTTGGCGCTCAGTTGTGATGGACTTCATGGATGCATGCTTGAGACCTGTCCAGTCAGTCGGGTTCTGTAACCAGGTATTTTTTTGGTCTGCCTCTTCTCCTCTTTTCCTCTACTGAGCCCTGCAGTATTGTTTTTGAGAGGCCGTTAGATCTTATTACATGTCCATACCATTGCATTTTCCGTCTTTTCATTGTATTTAAATGAGGTTCATAGTTGCTGATGTGCTGTATAATTTTATAGCGAACCTCTTCGTTAGTAATCTGGTCTCTGTATGATATGCCACAATATTTTCTGAAACATCACATGTCTAATGCTTGTATCTTTCTTTCAAGTTCAGCTGTTAAGGTCCACGTTTCACGGCCATATTTAAATGTACTTATAGCTAGTGCTCTGAGCAATCGAATCTTAGTTTTGCATGAAACGTTTTTAGATCTCCATAATGTTTGCTGCTTGGCAAGGACTGATGTTGTCTAGGCAATCATAGCCATGATTTCTGGTCGTGACCCCAAGTCCATTTAAATGAATCCTAAATATTTGAAATGAGTCACTTGTTCTAGTTTGTGACCTTTAATATAGATTGGTGAAATTCTGCCAGCTGGATTATTATTCATTACTTTTTTTTTTTTCTTTTCTTTACCCATGATAATATTGCTATTCAAAGGCTGTCTACTGTTTCAGAAAGATGTATCTTTCTCGGAACTGTTGGCACTTTGGTGTCAGTCTCAAATGGATCTTCCTGGCAAACCTGTATTTGATCATTCTCAACACCGCAACCGCTGAAAATTTTACCCAGGCAAGTAATAGTTCGGCGGATACGCCAACTTCGCTAAACTGGTTTAACCAAACAACGAACGACACAGACATTCTAACATCACCGCGTCCTGTCACCAGAACCACCAACAGCTCCAGTATTTTAGCATTATTGCGTTCCGTCACCGTTGGCAACAACGGTTCGCTTGCAACAACCTCACGCTTCAAAATTAAACATGCAAATGAAACCGGAGCCGCCTCACTAAAATCTTTCAAGTTACTGAAAAAGAAAGGCTCGAACTTTAGGTCCAAGATTAACCAAGACAAGGCGTCATCCATGGATTCCTTTGTTCTGCATTTCAAAGCGCTAAAAAAACTGAGGGGCAACGACAAAAAAGTGGCTTCTTCGCCATACCACAGTCAGTTAGCGAAAACCAAACAGAACCTCGCTGGAAGTCAAGACGCGCCCGATGATGCTACTTCCGGACATTTGACCTCTCACCCACGAGGTAAAAAATTTTATGTAATCTTTGATCCCTGTCTACGATCATTATACTTTATTCCTCTGCTATCAAAATCATACGCATAGCCTCGGTTTCTTTTATATTATCTTTTGGTATGTTATTACACTTGTTATTTCTGCTTTGTTCATATTTTTTTTTCATAACTCTGCTCTCAACTTTCTTCTAATCGGAATGCATCTACCTGAGAAAACCAAGAACCAACAGTCTGCACACAAATAAGTAAGATATGTACAACGGTTGGTTATGCAAAACCCCAAGTGCTGAAACAGAATCAGAGTCAAGAAATGGGCGAACAACCAAAATTTTTCACCAGAGTTTACAGTAGGCAAAGAAGAACAAGAAAAAGAGACGTCGAAGGAGGAGGAGGATGACAGAGAGAAGAAGAAGAAGAAGAAGAAGAAGAAGAAGAAGAAGAAGAAGAAGAAGAAGAAGAAGAAGAAGAAGAAGAAGAAGAAGAAGAAGAAATAGAAGAAAGCAGGAGAAGAATACTGCACAACGCTTCTCGTTTCTATTGACACAGTGCTATTCTTAATTATGTCTGTTGTCATGACATCGTACTTCTGCGTTCTCTAGCGTCATCAGTGAAACATCTGTTCCAAGACCCACACCTTAAATGTTTTCTCTCGACGGAGATTTCTACACATGACCACTCATGACCGACAGCATTATCAGAGTGTTATCACATGTAAAATGGGCCCCTTTCACGTCATGGTTGCATCGGACAGATAGCGCTCGATCTACTTTTATAGAACAGTCGGTCGCCTTTACGTCCAAGGACATTACCTGGCACCCTGTTTAGAGTGACATGTGTATTCTTGTTTGTATTTGTGGTATTGTAGACGTGTGTATTATGCTGATGAAGGCTGTCTGGCCGCAACGTTCACTTGTCATCTGTGTTTGTGACTTTCTGAAGCTAACTGGCTCTATTTTTCGCTTGGTTTGATATCTTTTGGTGATACTTTTTATCGCTTCAATAATTTCACCTCAATCGTGTGTCCCTCCCTCCTAGAACTGCTACTACCTGTTTCTGCCCGCTCAACTCGACTGTACCTTTTATTTTTTTTCTTTCTGTTTTACTGTTTGGGTTATTTCATTCTGTTAAATTTGTCTGATTTTGTATAGCCTAGTCCGTAGTTGGGGAACTGTATATGTATGAAATGGGATCTCTAACCGCAGTTACTTGTTGTCTGTGATGGTATATCTTGTTATCTTTTTAGACTATTTAGCAAGTTTAGTTAAAAGAAGAAAACCCGTCTTCAGTGGATTTGAACACGAAACATTCAAACCGGTAGTCGAATGTCTAGCAACTACTCTGCCGCAATTCTAATGAAAAATATGCAAATATACCTTAACATCATTATGTAGCAGGTTCTTTGCAGAACGTCGCTCTTATCACGGTCTGCCTGAAAGAAACTCGCCTCGTGTACTTTCATTATCCAAGGAGTTACTTATATAATATACCCATCTTCGTTTTGGTCGGCCCTGCTCCTCTTTCCTGGCACCATGCCTTCTGCTATTATTTTTTTTTTCCAATCCGCCGTTGCGCTTGATATGACCATAATATTTCATATAGACCTGTTGACCTTAATTACACAACCTATCAAACTTGAACTTTGCACAGAACGTTAATCCCCAAGTGCGCGATGTTGTTGACAACTCGGCACGTTAGAAACTTGTCATTTGACTACGTTCTCGTCACACAAATCTCACCTGTAGATTTACTGCTCCCCCTGCTGGTTGTGTCAGGGGTAATCTGTCATAAAAGGATTTATTTTGTGTATTTGATTGTATTTCGTATTGACAAGGCAAAGTTTCTGTATAGTGTCTTTGCATTGTAAATTTACTTCTTCATTGTCACAATTTTATTCTTCTTTTTCTTCGTGTTTTCTTCAGCCAGTGCTGTATTTATTTAAAATCTACAGCTTAGGGCTTCACAATCTGCGTGGTCTTCAACAAATTCCTGTTTCTTTTCTCCATAAATTCAAATTTCTGTTAATATATTTTAAACGCAATTCTCTTTTAATAGAGCCTTTTCGGAGATTATATTAAATAAATCAAACGCATGCTTTATTATTTCTTTTACTGAACAAAAATTTTTTTTGTTGAATTTTGTATTAAGAATCGAAATCATTGCACTCGGAACACCACCATAAGTGCTCCGTCACCATCTTCAGCAGCAAGCGACGAGTTCCAACTCCGATGGCACCAGTAACTGTCTGAATGTATATCCGTCTCGCCCTTACCTTGAGTGTTGGGCGTCGGCCAGATTCTCTGGTAACTCCTCGCAGCGCCATTCTCCTCAGACCGTAATGATCTATTTGTGCCCCCCCCCCCCCCCAACGCACTCCGAAAGGACCCTCACAACATCTAGCTTGTCCTACATCAGCTCACTATCAAGTGGCGCAGAACCAGCCAGTCTATATGATAGCTTGTTTCCCAACACACCGGTTTCACTGGGAAAAATGTCCAAAGGATGCTAACTACCCGGGACCTCTGAAGTGATGCTTGCCACTCTGCACGGAGCATGCCTGTGTCCAGCTTTCTCAACATGCTCTGCGAGTTTATTACAAGACCTCTACGCCCCATTAGTATATTGCAAGACCCCACGATCCCATTAGTATTTTGCAAGACCCCCACGCTCCCTTTAGAATATATTGCAAGACCCCGACGCTCTCATTATATATTGCAAGACCCCCACGCTCCCATTAGTATATTGCAAGACCCCCGCGCTCCCATTAGTATATTGCAAGACCCCCACGATCCCATTAGTATATTACAAGACCCCCACGATCCCATTAGTATATTGCAAGACTCCCACGATCCCTTTAGCATATCGCAGGACCCCCACGCTCCCATTAGTATATTGCAAGACCCCCCATGCCTTCCTCCTTGAGTTTATTGCACTTCATCCTTTTGTCTCAGAAGAGTGTCGGGTGGGGGATGGGTGAGTTGTTTTTGATGTCGTGCACAGTGGGTCATATAGTCACAGAAACATCGACCACCTCTATTTTTGATAACATTTCCCGGTCCCTTTTGTTGACTGGACATTATTTCATAACCACTTTTGAATTGTTAAAATGTGATATTAAATGTACACGAATTCCTTTCAACAGGGAAACCAAAGAAACCAATCTTCTGCTACTTTGGATCGTCTGCTAACTCGCGGCCCAGCATCGGCAAGTTCTGGCCTGAGCACATTGACCCCTTCCTGTGTACCCACCTTGTCTTTGCCTTTGTCGACATTACTGAGGATGGGACAGGGCTGAGACCCAACAACTGGAACGACCTGGGGGAGAAAGGTTTGTGTGTTTTTGACTGTGCTAGAATATCAAATCAGTGATCGATCTTCTGTCGATGTCTTAAACTTAGTCAAACAGATTGCTACAATTGCACTTCAGACTATACAGTTCATTAGTACTCTGATCCTTTCTATCTGTATATTTCTCAACTTGTGGCCATTGACCATACCTCTTTTGTTTTGTTTTACGTTCTAACTTGTGTATCTTGCATCGCCATCTTGTATGGCTTTACCAATTTTGACTGGAAGTGTTGCATTCTGACCAGCGTCGTTGACTCACTTATGTCACTTTGTTCATCTTATCGAGGGTCGGAGTGATTTGGGGGCATGGCGCCCGCCTCAAGTGCTGGAGATCCCAGGTTCAAGCCCCGGTGAAGGGTGAGATTTTTTTCACGCAGATTTCTAGTAGTTTCAAAATGTGCTACGGGTTTCGTGCACCGTGCTGAGACTCTTCGGACTCAGGATTGAATAAGAAGTAGAACGGTATCTACCATATTGTTGATCCGTTGTTTAAACCTAAACCTCACCTAATCACCCTGCCTCTCCGAAGCAATTCAGTATATTATATAGCTCGTTAGCTGCTCACGGTAACTTCGTCAGCAAGCCTGTCTGCTTGTTCGTTTTATCTTACACCCGCATATTCCGGCACAAAAATTAATAAGTGTTGCTAGTCACATTCGTTATCGCCAACGGCTGTGCCTCTTAATCCCTCCCATAGAACAATCTACCACTGTGGTTGGAGCGACGGAAAGGTGCCGACAGTGGTACCTTATACACCTATGTTTAACACACCTGCTCCCAACAAAGTCTTACCTAAAGCTCTGTACCAAGTATACACTCCTCACCTACGCGGTGATTCTGTCACACACACACACACACACACACACACACACACACACATAAATATCATCATCATCATGGAGCAGGTCGTTTGCAGAACGTCGCTCTCATCACAGTCTGCCTGAAAGAAACTCAGTCTCTCGCCAGTTCTTCCGCCTCATGTACTTTCATACTCAAGGAGTGACTTATATCCTGTGCCCATCTTTGTGTCGGTCGGCCCCTGCCCCTTCTTCCAGGTACCATGCCTTCTGCTGTAATTTTTTCCAATCTGCCGTGGCGCTTGATATGACCAAAATAAGGTGTCAATATTTCTCATCTTCTTTGTCCAAGATATTCGGAGAATCTTTCTATAGCATTTCAGCTCAAAAGCCCCTATTCTCTTTCTTAAGGACTGAGAGATAGTCTACGACTCACATCCGTATGTAGCCACAGGGAAGATGCATGCTGTTAAAAACACATAAATATATATATATAAATATTAATCTTCGATCCCAGGTCTGTACGCAAGAACCATGAAGCTGAAAGAGAAGAACCCCGACCTGAAGATCCTCTTAGCTGCTGGCGGATGGAAGATTGGATCCAAACCCTTTCTACCGGTGATCAAGAATGAGGAGACATGGAAGACATGGGTGTCCCATGTTATCGTGTACCTTCGCAAGTAAGCACAGATTCGTCACTTGTATATGTGTACGTGAACATGTGTATGTCTTGTAGTCAGAGGCAGCCTCACACAAATGTATACATCGTAACTGTCCGCCAGTGAAATGCATGAACGTTTTCATAAAAGCTACTTGTTTAAAAACGTCATTACAGATTGGCTAAATCGGCACCACTGGGTGGTGATTTGATACACGACAAGGCAGATGTGGTCAAGGGAACAAGCAACGGAGTCAGTAGAGAAACAAGATTATTATGGCCTGGAGAGAATGAGGTACCTGATGGTAACATTGTGACCGGTACTATCAGTATAGGAACTCTGCGCTGGCTGCTGAAGATGAGGACGGTGCATACATGGGAATGTCCCGATTGCTGTGAAGTCGATTCTTGACTCAACTCAACAAAACGACACCACTATGTGATATATTTTGTCATATTTAGATCAAATTAGGATAGCTAAGTGCTAAATATAACACAAATTTTGACTAGAAAGTTTAATGGAATTAAAGGATTGGTCAAGCAATGTATAAAAAGAAGACCGAATTGTTGGCTGTAATTATGTGGCAAACTGTATGACGTACCCCCAGGCTCCAATACCTGTTCAGTAACAGAGTGTGCAGGTACTGTCACTACTGTCCAGGGTTAGAGTCTAGGTTGTGTCTGACACCATCTGAAACGTGTCCACAGATACAACTTTGATGGTTTCGACATGGACTGGGAGTTTCCCACCTGGAGAGGAAGTGGTCCAGAGGACAAACAAAAGTTTACGTTGCTTATGAAGGTAATTATTTTATCGTCATCAGCTCCACTACCACCGCTACCACCACCACCGCCACCATCAGCGTCATTATCATAGTCATCTTCCTTTTATTATTCTTCCTACAACAACTACTACTGCTGCCGCTGTTGTTATTATTAGGAAGAAAATGAATACTGACATTAAAAGATCTGAATATCAAGGAAACTGAAAAATGTTGGCCATATGATGAACCACGGAGGACGGGAAAGAATAACAGCATAAGGCATGGTGCCAGGAAAACGGTGCAGAGGCCGACCAGCATAAAGGTGGGCACAGGATATAAGCGAGACATTGGGTAGGAAAGTTCAAAAGGCAGATGAGCTGGCAAGAGACCAAGGTTCTTTCAGGTAGACACTGATGAGAGCGACGTTCTGTGAAAGACTGCCTACATTATTATTATTATTTTTTTATTATACAGGTACCACCGGAATGGGAGCTCTTCTCTTGCGGCTTAAGATGGGGACGGGGCGCTTACGGGAGTGTCCCGAGTGCTGTGATGTCGATTTTTAATGCAACATTCAACTTTCAACAATATTACTTTTATTATTATGCCCTATGTAGCGTAGACGCTAAACCAACTCATGCCAAGTCATCCTATCCTTGACAACTAGGTCCAGCTAATTTCATGACGCTCACGCCCCCGCACCCCTACCTCACCCCCCCCCCCCCCATTCTTGTTTATTTTACTCTCCAGTTCCCCTCTTCATGCAGGTTTTTTTTCGTCGGCATTAATTCCCTTGACCCCGTGGGGTGCAGTGCAAATACATTCACTTCCTGTAGTCTCTTTGTCTCGTCATGGGTCCTATCCAACGCCAGCTTCTTTTACTCACCTCTTGGTTCACTATAATTTATTATTATCAATTAGTATTATTATTATTATGGTCTGTTTGTTGTTATTTTACATCATCGTCATCATTTTAATCTTCGTAGTCTGTGACTTCTAATGACGGTAATGATGGCCATGATTGGTAGCGCACAGCCTTGGTGTGTTAAAGTTAAAGGTTCCATGACAGATGCTCCCACTGGGATATCATGTGTCCGACCTTGACATATTCTAAACCACAACATTTGATATGATCTCACCTACTCCCTCTTTCTTATATCCTCTGCACTCCTGGCAATTTCTATAAAATTGTCAGGCTCTCATCCTTCTCTCTAGGTTTGTTATCTAATCCGACTATTGCTTGCTTCCAGGAGCTGTACGAGAAGTTTGCTGAAGAAGCCACTTATTCCGGCAAAGAGAGGTTGTTGCTCACCCTGGCAACGGCTTCCAGTGCCTTCTACGCCGAGAAGTCCTACGAGCAGTACGAGATTCACAAGTAGGTTTCCAGCATTTGGTAGTCCACTTGTGTGGGTTCCTGGGTCCAGTTTTGGAAGAAAAAGGGTGGGGGGGGGGGGGGAGGGGGGGTAATATACCTACATATATCCGCTCCTTCTTCTTCTTCGCATTGTCCCGCTGTAAACTCTGGCAGAAAGTATTGGTTGTTAGTCCATTTCTGAACTTTGGTCTTGGTTCCAGAACTTGAGTTTATCGTGTTTTGCGCTAGGTTATTTGTATGCCGACTGTTGGTTCCTGGCATCTCAGACAGATTCTCTCCGACTTCGAAAGAAATCACCCGATCAGTCGACTTGCTTGGTGGGGGTTGGGGCCGGGAGGAGGGGGGGGGCAGTTGATCTATCTTTCCCTAACAAAAATGACCCCTTGGAACCTCTACGATAGTGGTTCTCAACCTTCCTAATACCTCTACCCTTTAATACAGTTCCCTCGTGTTGTGGTCACCCTTTAATACAGTTCCCTCATGTTGTGGCGACCCTTTAATACAGTTCCCTCATGTTGTGGCGACCCTTTAATACAGTTCCCTCATGTTGTGGTTACCCTTTAGTTCAGTTCCCTTATATTGCGGTGACCGTCAGACAATGATTTTGTTTCATAACTTCAATTAATGTGTGTTTTCCGATGGTCTTAGGCGACCCATGGGAAAGGGTCGTTCGACCCAAAATAGGTTGCGACCGGCAGGTTGAGAACCGCTGTTGTACGACTGACTGACTGACTGACTGACTGACTGACTGACTGACTGACAGACTGACTGACTGTCTGACTGACTGACTGACTGACTGACTGACTGACTGACTTTCTACCCCACCAGGACATCACACAAGCGATAAACACCCGATGACACAAAGTGCCACCATGTGGGTTAGGATCACCGTGGAGAGGTTCCAGAAACCGCGTTCAGCCTTTAGGCCATATTTATGGCCAGGCTATATTGCGGCCCCTGGAAAGAGCCAGAGTAGGGCTTCAAATAACGACACATTTCATCCTAAAAAGGACGGGAAGTGAAAACTTAAGCTAACTGCTGTACGAGCATCTCTACGTCTCCTAGTGCTAGTTCTGAAATAACAGAAACGTGTTTATAAAATAAAGATAATACGAGAAGAAACTAAAACAGAGAAAACATGTTCACACTGCCCGTCAAAGACTTGCATTTGTTGTTGTTCTATAGATACATTGATTATATGCTTTTGATGACGTACAACTTCCATGGCTCTGGCTGGGAGAAACACACTGGTCACCACAGTCCGCTCCTGCCACACCCACTTGACCCGGAAGGTGAACAGAGGGAATTATACATTGTAAGTATATCTTAGATAAGATTAAACCTATTAAAAGATGAAACAGTGCATCACACGGACAAGGGTTAGCCTATAATATGTTAATATATCTCCAGACAGAATAGGGTATCACAGATCACTTCAAATATCTGCATAGATAGAATATACAGCATAATTACTATAAATGTCGAAAGTCATCATGTCATCCTTTGCAGAACGTCGCTCTCATCAGCGTCTAGCTGGAAGAAACTCAGTATTTCGCCCCTCTTACCCCTCGTGTACATTATTATTCACGGAGTCACTTATATCCTGACCCATCTTCGTGTCGGTCGGCCCCTGCCCCTCCTTCCCTGTACCATGCCTATTGCTATTATTTTATCCATCCGCCATGACACTTGATATGACCAAAATATTTCAGCTTCCGAGACCAGATGTCAGTCTTCCTTGATGTTCAGATCTATAACTGTTTGAAAGAACGCTTAAAATATATTGAACTTGATAATCCATACTCCTACAATCTTATTCAATTAATACACAATCTAAGCAATACTAAGTAACCAAACATAATTAACAAGAATAAACATCCAATAATGAAACAGAAAAAAAACACCTGGTGTATTCCAGTTATAACATGTTATTTATACAGAATATTATGGTTGCAATTACTACTGCTATTATAGTTATGTTGTCACTTGATAGTACATACATGTTATGTGCTTGAGTAATGAATATATAACTGACTGCCTATAATTCGACGTGTCTATTAACCCGTAAACGAACGCGTCAGCTATTGTTACGTCGACGGCAGTTCCCTGGATGTGGCAGGTCAGTTTCTACAGTTCATCTTTTCCTCAACAAATGAACAAATCTTGGAGATTGAAGATACTGAAGCTATGGGCCTCGTGCTCTGGGTAATGCTGTGGGTAGATGGCTAGCCGCTCTTTGGTTTGGAGAGAGAGAGAGAGAGAGAGAGAGAGAGAGAGAGAGAGAGAGAGAGAGAGAGAGAGAGAGAGAGCTACACATAATATAGGACAAAATCAAATGCAATGAAGTTCTACATTATCGGTGTCTGTATGTTTTTTCCCTTGTCTTCAGCAGACTTTGATTTTTTTTTTTTTTTTTCAGTTGTGGGCCGTGAAGTACTGGCTGAACTTCGGAGTTCCCAAAGAGAAAATCATCCTTGGACTGTCCACTTACGGTCTTGGGTGGAAACTGACCGACATCTCGCAAACTGGAGTTAAAGCTGCAGCCAATGGTGGCTCTTCCAAGGGGAAGTATACTGATGAATCTGGCATTTTGTCCTTGTATGAGGTTTGTAGCCAGCCAAGTGTACAACTGTGTTGAATTTAACTGAAGTGTGAATGTGTGTGGATCTTTTAGGCCATAAAACGTCATTTGTTCAGAAACCCGCATATCATTTAAACATCCTTAGTCGGACAATAATTGATCATCATCTTGTAGCAGGTCCTTTGCAGAACGCCGCTCTCATCATGGTCTGCCTGAAAGAAACTCGGTTTATTGCCAGGAGTTACTTATATCCTGTGCCCATCTCGGTACTGGTCAGCATCTGCCTCTCCTTCCTGGGAACATGCCTTCTGCTATTATTTTTGTTACCAGTCTGCTGTGGCGCTTGATATGGCTAAAGTATTTCAGCTTCCGAGGCAAAACGCTGTTTATTAGCCAGTCTTTCTTGATATTTAAGGATGTCATTATTTCTTTTGTCCTTGGTATTATGAGTACTTTCTATAGCATGTCAGCCAAAAAAAGCTCCCAGTATTCTTCTTTAAGGATTGGACAACAATTAGATGATTTAAACATCAATGATTAAGATTTGATTTGTTTCACTTCGACAATATGTTGACTGACTGACTGACTTTCTACCCCACCAGGACATCACACAAGCGATAAACACCCGATGACACAATGTGCCACCATGTAGAAGAGGATCACCGTGGAGAGGTCCCAGAAACCGCGTTCAGCCATTAGGCCATATTTATGGCCTGGCTTTATAGCGGCCCCCCCCCCCTTCCCCCGACAAGAGCCAGGGTTGGGCTTTAAATAACGAAACATTTCATCCTAAAAAGGACGGTTAATAGTATAAACATTCGACAATATGTGCTCCTAAATTACATTTTGGAGAATTTAAAGACGTAAATACTTTTGGGACACCCTGTAGTTTTAAGCCATAGAAAGAAATAAACCTTGAATCTTTTAAAACACCAACTGATCAAGTGTTTCCACAGTTGCAGTCAAGAACGCTTCTCGCTGCAAAGGGTTTGGTGGGGATAGGGGGGGGGGGGGGCGTGTGGGATGAATGGAGTAAACCCGGAAAGGAAGTACTTCAAAATTGGATGTACTCATTTTGAGGAAACAAAGCGACATACCTCTCCTGATGATGATTGAACAGAAATTGTGTTCACAGTAGTCATGACTCTTTGTTCCCTATCAGATCTGGTATTAGAAGATGTGTACACAGTAGTCATTACTTTTTGTTCCCTGTCAGATCTGGTATTAGAAATTGTGTACACGGTAGTCATGACATTTGTTCCCTGTCAGATCTGGTATTCGAAGATGTTTACACAGTAGTCATGACTCTTTGTTCCCTATCAGATCTGATATTAGAAGATGTGTACACAGTAGTCATGACTCTTTGTTCCCTGTCAGATCTGGTATTAGAAATTATGTACACGGTGGTCATGACTTTTTGTTCCCTGTCAGATCTGCGAGAATGTACTCAACGATGACTGGAAAGTCCAGTGGATTGAGGAGCAGAAGGTGCCCTATGCTTACGGAGGCGGCGAGTGGGTTGGGTTTGATTCTCCAGATAGCTTTTATCTCAAGGTAAATTGACAGCTTTAACATCATTATCGCCAGATTTGATTTAGCGTCTTTGTAACCAAACTTAAAAGCAATTACTAACATGCTGATCCAGAACAGCAAGAACAGCGGTGTGCAGAGAAGGACAGACAGACAAACAGACAGACAGACAGACAGACAGACAGACAGACAGACAGACAGACAGACAGACAGACAGACAGACAGACAGACAGACAGACAGACAGACAGACAGACAGACAGACAGACAGACAGACAGACAGACAGACAGACAGACAGACAGACAGACAGACAGACAGACAGACAGACAGACAGACAGACAGACAAGCAGACAGACAGACAGACAGACAGGCAGACGGATGGACGGACGGACGGACAGAGAGACGGACGGACAGAGAGACGGACGGACAGAGAGACGGACGGACAGAGAGACGGACGGACAGAGAGACAGACATAGACTGAGAACAGATAGACAGACAGACAAGTAGACAAACAGACACACAGACATAGACAGAGAGACACAGAGAGAGACAGAGAGACAGATATACATGTAGATAGAGAGAAAGACAGAGAGATAGACATAGATAGACAGACGGAGACAGAGAGAAACAGACTGAGAGAGAGAGAGAGAGATAGAGAGAGAGGGGAGGGAGAGATAGAGCAGGGGGAGAGATGAGTTATATAAAGTGGAGCATTTCCACCTCAGTGGTCAGCAGGTCTATGACGACAGATTCATATTTTGTCATGTTATTTGATAGACCAAGCTGCCCTCGATCAATGATGTGGTCTACATAACGGTCTCCTTTAGAGAGAGATAGAGAGAGAGAGAGAGAGAGAGAGAGAGAGAGAGAGAGAGGGGAGGGAGAGATGACATCTGGCAGTGCACGTGATGACGATGACACAAACAATTATAACAAGTATGATTACGGCATAGTCGCATACACGCTTGGATCGTCGCTGGTGCAACCAGAGCTCGTACATTGTCTTGAGATTCTGCTTGCGTAATCAACACGAGGAGACCGGAGATAGAGTAGTGTGCATGGAAAAAGACAGAACTTTGAATCAGAGTATGGGAACTGTTGGGCACTGGGGAAGAGGACGGAGCCAGTATGGGGGGGGGGGAGGAGGAGGGCTTGGGGGGGGGGGGGTGTCCCGATTGCATTGGTATTTAATCTCGACTAATTAATGTTTAAATTATACAGATAAAACAGAGTCGTCAAATGTGGAAACATGGACAGTAAACAAGCAACTGGAAAATCGTCCTCTCATGAGGTGTGGAGATACGGAAGCATAGGTCGCAGTTCATGCAAACCAAAACCAACAATCAAATTTGGCGGTTTCCAACGCGCTGGTTCCAGGCTGCAGTGGGAGGTTGGGGGTGGCGGAGGGGTAGAACCACTGCCAACCTATTAAGCATGTCTTAAGAGTCGACTATTTAGGGGTTTTCTCAGAGATCGGAGGGGATCTGCCTGAGTGGCCAGAAACCAGCAATCTGGCTACAAATACGCCAGATCTGCCAATTGGATGTGCACTCAAAACTCAGGTTCTGGAGTAATACTAAAGACAAGAAGTAGATGAACAACCAGAATATTCCACCGGAGTTAACAGCCGGTGAACGCGAAGAAGAAGAAGAAGACAATATGGACGTTCTGGAGAGACAACTAATGAAAAGAGAGTTACTGAAAGAAATAGAAAAAAGGCATTTGCAATATTTCGGCCACATTAGAAGACATGCCACTCTTTAAAAGTATACCTAAGTGAAAAGTCGAAATAAGAAAGCAAGAGCTAAACAACGATACATGCGGGAGGACAACATCAAGAGATGAAAGAACAACAGTCTGCGAAAGTGATAAGGGAAGAGATAGAACTTTTGGAGATACATTGCAGCTAACCTTCATTGTGGTGTTAGTGTCTAACTGGTTGATTGGTGCAGTAAAAATAATTCTTTTTAAACGAAATTAAACGAAACATCGCTGTTCGATACCTTTGTCGTCCCCTTGTGGGATGCAATTTTTCGTTATTTTGATACCCCACCCTGGCTATTGCCTGGGGATCTAATATAACTTAACGGTTGGACGGAATTTCCGGGACTTCTCCACGGGTGATCCTCATCCGAATGGTAGCACTTTGTGTCACCGGGTGTTTATCGCTCAGTGTGATGTCCTGGTGGGGTACAACTTACTTACTAAACATGGATGTATGTTTTCTTTCACAACTGTCTTTTGCGGATCTTTTCAGGCTGCGGTAATAATGAAAGAAGATTTGGGCGGTGCCTTTGTGTGGTCAGTGGAGATGGACGACTTCAACGGTCATTGCGGCGGCCCCAAATACCCGCTGTTGCGGACCATCTATGAGGTGTTCACCCAGTCCTCGGATGTGTCCAGCTTTGATTCTGTGAAATCTGCCCCGGCCGCCGGACATCACCACCACCACCACCCCCAGAGTTCATCGGCGGCTTCCAAGGACGGGCCTGGCGAGTCACATGGTAGTGGACACACTGTGGAGGAAGCTTCATCATCATCAACATCGTCCGATCACCCTGCAGCTGCCTCGTCAGACGACATTCAGGTAGAAACTGACAAGGACACAGAATATTCCAACTACTACCCGTACGAAACGGCCGATATTGTTGATGCTGGTGAGTAGAAATAGCAACTTAAATCTTAAATCAAGAATCCATATCATAGTACTCGGGACACTTACATAAGCGCTCCGCCCCCATCTTCAGCAGTCTGCTCAATCATACTTACCTGGCAAAAGGTGTTTCGTCCTTTTTAGGGCGAAATTTTTTGTTATTTGAAGCCCCACCCTGGCTTTTGCCAGGGGCCGCAATATAGGCAGGCCATTAATATGGCCAATTGTCTGAACGCGGTTTGTGGGACCACTCCACGGCGATCCTCATCCACATGGTGGCACGTTGTGTCATCGAGTGTTTATCGCTTGTGTGATGTCCTGGTGGGGTAGAAAGTCAGTCATTCAGTCATCTCCAGCAGAAAGCAAAGAGTTTCAGTTCCGATGTTACCAGTAACTGTCAGATTGTACATCCGTCTCGCCTTTCCATTGAGTGTTGAGCGTCGGCTACATTCCCTGGTAACTTCACCCAGCGCCATTCTCCTCAGACCGTAATCATCTATTTGTACATCCGCACTGTTCACTCGCTCCCAAAAGACCCTCACAACGTCCAGCTTGTCATACATCAGTTCACAACCAAGTGGTGCAGAACCGGCCTGTCTATCTGCCTGCTCGTTTGAAGACTTAATAGGCAACTTAAAGAATTATTGTTGGATTCAGAAGTTCGCTTCATGTATGCCAGCATGTGCTAATTTTACAAAAAATACGACTGTTAAGTTAAGAATTAACAGAACATTTCAGTAATTTGTGAACTATATGGAGATCACATTTTATGATCTTATATCTCCCTGAGACAAGATGCAGTAAAAGGAGAAGAAGAAGAAGAAGAAGAAGAAGAAGAAGAAGAAGAAGAAGAAGAAGAAGAAGAAGAAGAAGAAGAAGAGAAGAAGAAGAAGAAGAAGAAGAAGAAGAAGAAGAAGAAGAAGAAGAAGAAGAAGAAGAAGAAGAAGAAGAAGAAGAAGAAGAAGAAGAAGAAAGAAAGAAGAAGAAGAAGAAGAAGAAGAAGAAGAAGAAGAAGAAGAAGAAGAAGAAGAAGGAAGAAGAAGAAGAGAAGAGAAGAAGAAGAAGAAGAAGAAGAAGAAGAAGAAGAAGAAGAAGAAGAAGAAGAAGAAGAAGAAGAAGAAGAAGAAAGAAGAAGAAGAAGAAGAAGAAGAAGAAGAAGAAGAAGAAGAAGAAGAAGAAGAAAGAGGAAGAAGAAGAAGAAGAAGAAGAAGAAGAAGAAGAAGAAGAAGAAGAAGAAGAAGAAGAAGAAGAAGAAGAAGAAGAAGAAGAAGAAGAAGAAGAAGAAGAAGAAGAAGAAGAAGAAGAAGTGGTGGTGGTGGTGGTAGTAGTTGCAGGGTTATAGTAGTAGCAGCAGCAGCAACATTAGCAGCAGTTGCAGCAGTAGTAGTATTACTACTAATCGTAGTAGTAGTAGTAGCAGCAGTTGCAGCAGCATTAGTAGTATTAGTAACAATCGTAGTAGTAGTAGTAGTAGTAGCAGCAGCAGCAGTAGTAGCATTTCACAAAACAAGTTTTCTCTCTCACATTTTCTATTGCTCTGGAAGTTAAAGTGAGTGAAGAAATAATAAAGAAAAACACATTAAACGGAAAGTATTTAGTACTATTTGTATAATTAAATTTCATTTCCAGCTGAACAACTGCATTTTATTGAACTTTATTTCATGACGGTTTCATGCCCGTATGTGATTCAAATTGATCGCCTGGGCAACTGCTGATCTGTTGGTGACTTCTGCTACCATCAAAGATAAACTGCTTTTCCAATGGCGGACTGTTTGTGTTAGCACTTCGGATGGCTACCGTAAACATTAATGCGTGTGTGTGCTAGATATGCTGAGACTGCAGTCTGTCAATATTTCCACAAGGGACTGTGATAAACATTCTGGGTGTTTTTCGCTGGCACAGGAGCGGAGCAAAAATGGGGTGACCCGTTTGCTATGAAGCTAAAACTAAGACTATCAGACCAGACCAGTCAGGGTGGGGCTTTAAAATAACAGGCCGACCAAAAAAAAAGAGATGGGTGAAAGGAGTAAAAAAGAATACTACAGAAACGCAAAAAGCCATTAACACAAGTTACTAAATTAGCAAAAACATCAAACTACCCTCTACGGCGCTTTACGGCACAATAAGTCGATAGAATATGAAGACGAAGAAAGACAAATTTGGCTGTCGCATTTTTGTTTTTTATGTCTTATATATGAGTTTGAAGATGTAAGCTGACTAAATTATGAACACCTGTTTCTTGCTTCAGGAATCTTCGACTGTAACAGCCATGGCCTAGGAATCCACGCCGACCCGACATCCTGCCATCATTTCATCCTTTGTATGCCTGCCACCTCGCATGAACTGAGTTCCTCCCGCATGAACTGTCCAGCAGGCACCCTCTTTGACGAGAAGGTCAAAGTCTGTAATCACGAACACAATGTCGTCTGCCAACATTGAGAATCTTCTTTTGTTTACCGCCATAATTTAAATTGACACTTGTCCAAGCCACGGCAGACTGTAGACAATCTACAGTCGGCCCTGATCAAAAACTTTTCAAACCTTGACACTTCCACCGAGCGGAAATCAGCCTGTGTTTAAAAAAAAAGCCCTGTGATCTCTGCGAAGTTAATGTTTTCCCCGGGTTCGCCCGGTAACTCCAGTTTGGCATTACAGTGTTAGTATGAGACCCCGAAAAGCTGGACATGGGGTGCAAACTTAGATGGAGTCATTTGAAAAATTATATATAAATATATATATATATATATATATATATATATATATATATATATATATATATATATATATATATATATATATATATACATACACATACAGTGCAGACTGTTTAAGGCCATCTCGGATATGGCGAATTTCTATGATGAACAGCAATGTGTTTATCCCCTGTAATTTTTCTTGTTTAAACTCTCATCTGGAAAAGAGGAATTTCTGATAAGAAAGGTCTCCATTGTATTCTTTTTCTTCTTCTCCTTTTTCTTCTTCTTCTTCTTCTTCTTCTTCTTCTTCTTCTTCTTCTTCTTCTTCTTCTTCTTCTTCTTCTTCTTCTTGAATCAACGTGTTTGCTGTCTGGCTGACCCTGGCCTTTGGTCTGTGCTCAAAGGCAGAGAAAGGATGTCCAGTTAATGTTTATTTAGTTGTTTGTTGTTACATAACATACTCATTGTTTAAATTCCTGCCGTTGGTTATGATATGCCAGACGCCTGCAATGGGAAAGTCTGTACACACATCACTACGGAATAAGTACTGTTGGAGAAGACTGTCATTGCCAGTAATAATGTTATCTTTGGAAGTGTCAGTGTCTAAGTAAAGGACAGCGGCCACAAACATGTGAATAGTTTAGTCGTGGAAGGCTCTTGATATTTGATAGACGATAAATGGTAGAATTGCTCCCCCCACCCTCCCACTTTTTCCTTTTATCACCTTTTATCAGTTGTACTTATATCTCCCACTGATGTTTGCAATCCTTAATTTCAGGATCATTACATTTTTGGTCAGTTTTTAGATACGTTAAAAAAAAATTAATGTCTGGCTCAATAATTGTTTCAATTCATAACTGTTACAGTGACTCGCCGTCTGGACTGGACCTCACTATAGCGGGTTGGGGGAGGGGGAGACAGAGAGAAAATAGACCCAATGTGCCCTAACAAGCATTAGGGGTATTTCTTTTGAGGTCGGAGTACATCTTCCTCAGAGGCGAGGAAAGAACAGACTGCATAGAAATAATCCAGATCTATAAAGCGTGCACACACATGCACGCACAACCTAAATTCTGAAACAAAACCGAAGTCCAGAAGTGGATGAACCACCAGAAGTAGTCTCCTGAGTTTACAACCGACGAAGACTAAGAAGAGGAAGAACTGTGTAAATATGAGATCTCCAGATTTTCTCGCCCTGCCTCGTCCCTCCCAGAATGTCAGTGATTACAGTAATTATGAATTCCGTAGCTCTTTCTCACTTCGGCAAAGAATTATCGTATTTCATGTCTGCAGTACAGGAACCGAAAGCTGAAATATTTTGGACATATCAAGCGCCACGACGGATTGGAAAAAAATATAGCAGAAGGCATGGTACCAGGAAGGAGGGGCAGGGGCCGACCGACACGAAGATAGACACAGGATATAAGTGACTTCTTGAGTGTGAAAGTTCATGAGGCGGGAGAACTGGCAAGAGACCGAGTTTCTTACAGGCAGACTGTGATGAGAGCGACGTTCTGCAAAGGACCTGCTACATGATGATAATGATGAGTACAGGAACAATGATGATGGATAAAGCAAACATTCTTAAGTCTACGTTTTAACGAATATTAGCTGAAGACAGTGTTAGATGAAAGAACAAACCGAAAGATGGATAAATATGGAGGTAACTGTGAATCCTGACAGAGGCGACGTGTGAAAGGATCAATATGATAAATTACAACCAGTATGCTACTAGATTAGCTAAACTACTTCAACAATGCGTATTTACTGAAAGTTACATAATTTTGTCATTCACGTCCGTCTAATTTCATGAATGAAACTGTTATAGTTTAGCATAAAAATATCTTAGAGTTCAACAAGTCAGCTTGAAGTTCTTTTTTATCTGGGTCATTGATAGTTTTTAGGAGTAGAGATTTCCCGTTAATTTATTTAACTTATGTGATTCAAGTAGACCAAGAGGTGAGAAAAATATGCTGGCGTTGGATAGAACACACACTGAGAAAACAGGAGAACAGCATAACTAGAATATCTTTGCATTAGAACCCACAGGGGCATAGGAATAAAGGAAGACCAAAAAAACACATGGAGAAGAGAGCTGGAGAATGAGGTTAGAAAGATTGGGAGGACATGGGGAGAGCTCCATGCAATGGCGAAGGATAGAACGACTTGGCGTGAGTTGGTTGAGGGCCTACGCTCCATTGGGGGATAGAAAGGCAGAAGAAGAAGACCATGTCATTCGTTTTATTTTAAAATTTTAACAATACGGTATCCACACCTTATATTTGCTGTGGGAGACGGAGCATCAGTGAAAATGTC